AAAAATGCTTTGAGTTATGCTTCAAAAGCTTTTAGAAAACCAGAAATGTCAGGGGTGTCTGTATGTCTCTGGTTCCTTGCCTTTTCCCCACATTTTAGGGACAGTTGGCTCCAAGGGATCGCCAGACCCTTCCTATTGCACACCAGGTCAACAGAAAAACAAGCAGTAGAGCCAGAAATAGAAGCCAACTGTTTCCCAGAATCCAGCTTTCCTAAACCCATAAAGCCACAGTCCCCCTTTTAAAAGTCCTTTGAACTCGGTATAATAAAGGCAGTGCCTGAGTTAAGTGCATTATTATTCCTGTTGTTTGGAGGTAATATACAGATGGCATCGAGCTCTTCGAGGTAAACACTTGTTCTCTTCCGTGTTCTCTTCGAAGCCACAAAGCACACTGGGGCCTCCTGGCTTCCAGATGCTCTTCCATGGCTGGGAAGGGAGGTGCCTTTTCTCCTTTAATCCAGCCCCATCTTCTTCCTCTTCAGAGACATAGGCCAAATAAGTAGCTCTCACTGGCCTGCATTGACTCAGAGTCCTTAGCATCACTACCCTTCTCTTGCCACACATGACACGCCTATTTCTAAACAGATGTTCCTTTTCAAGTTTTTGTTTCCCCAAAGACTTTAGTTCAGAATAAGGCAGGTGCAGCGGCTAATGAGTGGAGGTATGGCACTGAACTTGGCTGGCTTTGCAGGTCCTCTTCCCTCCTCCTCTGGAATCGCAGGATCCTGGTGAAGTCACCCAGGCTCCCTAAGTGTGTTGTGTGCTCAGTGCCTGGCCACGCGGGACCTGGAGATGTGCCCTGGCCCTCTTCTTTCTGCCTTCAGGCTCACACCGTGAAGAGGATTTGCTAGAATCTATTGCATAACTGAGAAACCAAGTATTGTCCTGATCACATGGGATCTTACAGAGGCAAAAATATAGAGGGTCCCCAAAAATGTACACACACACTTTGAATAATTATAAAGGCAGAGCTTATTAAAATAGATTTTATTTTTTAAATTGAGCTATCAGCTGTTACAATGTGTGTGTACATTTTGGGGGGATACCCCGTATAGGTCTTTAATTGAGTTTTCTGATTTGCTTTCGATTGATTTGAAAACACATCAAGCAGATTTCTTTCATTGTATGTTGATTTATAGCCTGAGAAAGAAACTATTGCGGCATCACAAATTATGGCAAACTTCGTGGCTTAAAACAACCTGTTTATCTCTGTTTCCGTGGGCCAGGAGTCTGGCTACAGCTTAACGAAGCCCTCTTCATGGCTGTGATCGAGGCATAGGTCAGGGCTGTGTCTCACCGGAGGCTCGACTGGGGAAGGGCCTGCTTCCAAACTCATGTGGTGATTAGTAGAACTTCCTTTCATTGCAGGCACTCACACTGAGGGCCTCGGTTCCTCACTGGCTGTTGGCTGTGGGCGGCCCTCACTTCCTTTTCACAACATGGCAGCTGGCTTCATCACACCCAGCTAGGAAGAGAGTCCCTGGCAAGATGAGCACTACAATCTTAGGTATTTATGTACAGGTAATCACGTGTATCCCATCACCTGACTATATTTTACTAGTTAGAATAGAGTCCCTGGGCCCTCAGGGATTACACAGGGGCACCAGGAGGCAGTGATCTGGGGCACCACAGAATCTGTCTACTACAGAAACCCTCTCCTCTGGCAAGAAAAAGAAATTAGCAGTTGGATTTCTTTCCTCACATGCCACTGTCTTTGCCCTTTCTTCTCTCAAAAGGATGAAGAAAAGTTTGGGTTGCCTTGAAATCATCACCCACCTCTCTCTTCCTTGCTCCCATAACCATGCACAGGACCACTCTCCTAGTCAAGGTTATCTTGGTTGCAAGAAAGAGAAACTTGCCCTGGCTGGTTTGGCTCAGTGGATAGAGTGTCAGCCTTCGGACTGAAGGGTCCAGAGTTCGATTCTGGTCAAGGGTACATGCCCAGGTTGTGGGCTCGATCCCCATTTGGGGGTGTGCGGGAGGCAGCCAATCAGTGATTCTCTCTCATCATTGATGTTTCTATCTCTCTCTCCTCTCCCTCCCTTCCCCAAATCAATACAAATACATTTTAAAAAAGAGAGAGAAACTTGTTCAAGCTAGCTTAGTCGAAGGAGAAGAGTTTATTATAGGGATATCTCAAGGGACCTAATAACAGAAAGGCCTCCACACATTCCTCCCCCCCACCCCCCCTTCAGTGGCTACCCACTAAATCCAAAGTTCCATGTTCTCAGGTCAGGCCACAGGCAGATTCCTGTGCATGTCTGGATGCCAATTCTAACTTCCCAGGAGCAAACCCAATTGACCCAGCTTGGGTTAAACCTACACTCCTGACCCAATCAGCTGTCGCCGAGGATTGGCTGGCTGAGTACAAATGCTTGGAGATTGGATGTTCTCCAAGGGAGGGGTAGCAGCCAAAACAGTTTTGATCACAGCCACAGACCAAATATAAAATGTCTCACCTGTTGCACCTGCATTCTCAGCTCTGGATCTCAGCTCTGGATGGTGATTGGAGAGAGAACGCTGGAGTTAGGCCTAAACCAAAGACTCTCAGAGGTAGGCAGGAGCTGAAGGGCTGGCATGCAGAGGACTGGTCGGCCTTCTGTGGCCTTTGCAGGCAGGAATAGGGGAAGTGGATGCCAATAGCAGGGAAGCGGGTTTCAGCTTCATGTAAAGAACTGCCAGATACTTAAAACCCACCTAATCTTCTGTCATTCTCTTGTCCCCAAGAGCTGCACCATGATCCTGGAATGCCCTTCTCAGCCCACAACTTTCTTTTATTCAAAATGTTTTACAAGTACATATGTAGACATTTATTGTATTCACTCCCATGGGCAGAGTAGAAACATACCACTTTATAGATGAGCAAACAGAGGTGGGGGTTCAGGATCCCCAGAACTAGAATCCAAGACCCTTCCTACCACCCTGCCCAGGCTGGCTAATTGCCCCCCTCTCCCTAAGTCAGTTCCCCCGGTGCCACAGGAACTGCCCTGAATTTGGCATCATTATAGAACAGGCTTCATATCTCAAGCTGATGTTTTCATATCTCAGTGGATAGGGTCCCGGGTTTGATTCCGGTCAAGGGCAAGTACCTGGGTGGCAGGCTCCTCACGGCCTGGGCCCTAGTCAGGGCATTTGCAGAAGGCAACCAATGGATGTATTTCTCTCACATCGATATTTCTGTCTTTCCCTCTCTCTTCCATTCTCCCTAAATATCAATGGAAAATGTCCTCAGGTGAGGATTAAAATATATATGTGTGTATATGTATAAGTATATATATATATGTGTGTGTATATATGTATATATATGTGTGTGTGTATATATATATACACATATATAATAAATATATATATCACTAACAACTTATATTAAAAAGAAAAGAAAAACAAGTGAGACTACACATCCCTGAAACCAAGGTACTTACACCTCCCCTCCCCAAAATATCACTCACAGGTAGAATTCTGTGGCTTTTTAGTCACTGTCTGTTCGTTGACGTGCAAGATAAGGACTCAAGCAAATTTCAGCAGTTGCAAGCAAAATTACTGGGGCTGAAGGCAGCTCCATGCCGTTCCTCGGGATCCGTGGGCGTGCCTCCACCCTGTGCCCCTTTCCTCTGCCTTGCTCCTCCTCATCCAGCTCAGGGGTCCCTCCTCACAGTAATCTCACTGACTCTCACTCCTGCCCACTCCCAAACACCCGCCCTTGTTAAAGATTTCCTCTAGGTGCCCATAGCCCTTATATTTAATGCACACAACCCTCAGATTTAGCATCATCAGATGGAGGTCAAATCCTCCACCCCGCACTAGCTGTGTGACCTTGAGTCAGTTACTTACCCTCTCTGGGCTTGTCTCATCTGTAGAACAAGAATGATAGCATATTCATCTCATCGGAGCAGTGTTCCCTGAGATAATACATGTGAGTAGTGAGCACTGATGAATGATGCTTGGTAAGCAGTGAGCACTCAGTATGCAGTACCATAATTACATGAGAACTGACTTGCAAGACCTTTAGAATAAATCCTGGCATCAAATAATATAGTAGTAGTAGTATTGTCATCATTTCTCATACTGCCCTTGATAAACTGCCAGTTGATATGTCTGCCTTATCAGTGAGAAAAGGGTGTGTCATTGACTCTCAGTCCCCATTGCCTGCCATATAGCACCCACCTAATAAACAGCTGTTCACTGCACAAACGAACAGATAGATCCTGTTAGGCCCTACTGGGCATAAAAGTAAATTCAAAAGCCTGGGAAGAAGGCACACACAGCCTGGGCTGGTCTGAAGGCTCAAAGGCCCACTTCTCCTGTAAAAGGGTCCCATAGTACATTTTTCAGGCTCTTGTCTGGGCCATACACTCTGTTGCAAACATTCAACTCTGCCACTGTAGTGGGAAAGTGGCCATAGGCAACAGGTAAATAAATGGACTTAGTTGTATTCCAGTAAAATTTTATTTATGGTTACTAACATTTAAACTTCATATTATTTTCACAGCATAAAATGCTATTCTTTTGACTCCCCCCCCCCCCCCCCAACCATTCACAAATAGAAAAACAGTCCTTAGCTCGTTAAAAACCAAGGGGCTGGTTTGGTTTCCCACGTGCTGGTTGGCATTTGCCAACACTCGCCCTGAGGTTTCAGCCCAGGAGTTTGCGCTGCTGGGAGGGCGCCGGTAGGGATGCTGGCTTGGGATTGGGCCAGGGATAGTGGGCGGGACCGAAGCTGGGCATCCTGACGTGTACGTGATGGGGAGGGGTAGTCCCGGATTGGTCCACACCGGCGGCTGAGAGCGCGAGGCGTGTTCAGCACTCAGCCAATCACGCTGCGATTCCACATCGCCCCGCCTCGCGCTAGCGTCTACGTCACGCGGGGAGTGCGCTACCCTTCTGGCGCGTCCAGCACCACTTCCGGGCACAGTCGCGGCGTGACGTCAGGAGGAGGGCAGGTAAGGGCTGGTAGGCGGAGGGGCGGCCAGGCCGGTAGGGCCCGGGGAGTGGGGTGGAGTGGGGGTGTCAAGCTGCTCCCTCACCCAATCTGGGAGCCGTCCTACTGACACGAGCACGCCGGGGGTTCCCACGGTTCTGGGGTCGCGGGCCCGTTGTCCGGAGCGGCCCAGGTCCCAGTCGTGACCCCGGACCCAAATCCCGGGCTACGGCCGTGACCCCAGACGCAGCCTTGGCCCGTATGATGCCTGCAGGGCCCCTCGGTTTACTACATCTAGAAATGGAACCAGTAAGCCCCTACCTCGCTGGGTCGTGGTGAAGATTTTGTAAAATAACTCTTGTAAAACGGTGGGCATGAGAAACAATCAAAACCACCAACTTGGTTAATTCGGCGTTAGGTGCTGTTCTGAGAACTTGAACTCACTGAGTCTTTTTGGTTTTTTTAATATATTTTATTGATTTTTTACAGAAAGGAAAGGAGAGGGATAGAGAGTTAGAAACATCGATCAGCTGCCTCCTGCACACTCCCCACTGGGGATGTGCCCGCAACCAAGGTACATGCCCTTGACCGGAATCGAACCTGGGGACCCTTGAGTCCACAGGCCGACGCTCTATCCACTGACCCAAACCGGCCAGGGCAAACTCATTGAGTCTTAACTGCAGCCTTATCAGGTTGATACTTGGAGGCCCAAAGAGAGTGAGCAGCTTGTCCAAAGTCAGGCCGCTAGCAAGCAGCACAGTCGGAATCCAAGTCCAGTAGTATGTCCTGGGCAAATACAGTCTGTGGTTACTCCTGACACCAGGGATCAGAGATTGCCATCTGTCCAGCCTACTAGCCTCAGCTGGACCATTCACTGGGGCAGTAGACCATGTTAAGATCCTGGCTCCTGTAAACGCAGTACTTTGTGCAAGCCCTTCCCACTGTGTTATTTCATCCACAGCAACCCCAGAAAGTCAGCCCTGTCGCCCTCGTCCGCTCTTTACAGGTGAGGACATGTAACTTAGGGAAGCTCAGACACTGGCCACGGTCTCCCAGTGAGTGAGGAGAAAAGCTGAGATTCAAGCCCAGGGAACTCTGACCCCAAAGCCTGAGTGGGCACTTAGCTATTTTGTTAGCAAAAACATCCAGGGGCACTCTTTACAGATGGAGGACCCAAGATAGAGGGAGGTTCAGGACAGTGTCGGAGCACCCTGGTTCTGCCTCCCCATCAACTTCTGACCCTGGGCAAGTTACTTAGGTCCCCAAGTCAGTTGGAAGTAATAGTCACAATACAGAGGAAATGAGGCAATGATGTCAGGTTCGGTGCAGCGCCTGGCACACAGTCACCATTCGAGAGTGCACAACTAAGTTAGCAGAAGCAATTAGGCCAAGCTTCCTGACTAGCACAAGAGAGATACTCACTTCTTAAATGATTGGGGAAAACTCAGAAGGAGAATAATTTGTAACGAGTGACAATCATGTGAAATGAGAATTATTTCAGTTGCATTGATATGAGTACAGTGCACCCATTCATTTACATCTTGTTCACAGCTACTTTCTGTGAACTGGGCAATGGGCAGAATTGAGTTGTTGGGACAGAGACAGTCTTGTCCGGAAAGCCAGCAGTTTTTACTAAATGTTCCTTAACGGAAACCTCGCCAATCCCAATTCAAGACCTAAAAGTCTCTCCTCCAAACATGCAGGGTGTAGGGGATATCTAACCCCCAGTTTTAGGATCTCTAACCCTCTGCATTTGATACCTGTGTCACCTGCCACCGATTCTTAAGAAATTTCAATCAGTTACCAATGGTTCTTCCGTCAGAACTTTTGTTATAAATATCAGCTTTTTTAAAAAATATGTATTTTATTGATTTTTAGAGAGAAAGAGAGAGAGAAACATCATCGATCAGCTGCCTCCTGCACGCCCCTACTGGGGATTGAGTCTGTAACCCCGGGCATGTGCCCTGACTGGGATTTGAACCAGTAACCTCCTGGTTCCTGGGTCACTGCTCAACCGCTGGGCCACACCAGCCGGGCAATATCAGCTTTTTTTTTTTTTTTTTTAGTTTTTTTTTTTTTTTTTTCTCACCCAAGGATATGTTTGTTGACTTTAGAGAGAGAGGAAGAGGGAGAGAGAGAAACATCCATCAGTTGCCTTCTGTACCCACCCTGACCAGGGATCAAACCGCAACATTTTGGTGTACAGGACTACACTCCAACTAACTGAGCCACAGGCCAGAGCCTTCTGTCAAAATTAATTTATTAGCGGCCAGGCACTGTCCTTGGTGCTAGAGCTATGGCCAGGTGAGATCTTGCAGAGGAGGCAAACTGTAGACAAGTAAACAGACACGGTGGTGTGATAGGAACTCCAGGGAGAAGTGACTCCAGTGAGGCCTCTGACAAAAGTGATGTTTGAGCTGAGACCTGTGACAGAGAACAGACGGCTCTTGGAGGAGTGCTCAGGCAGGTGGCCTGCACTGCTTAGCCTCCGAAGGCAGCCAGGAAGCCAGAGTGAGCACGCGGGAGAGGGGTGAGAGGCAGGCTTGGAGAGGGAGGCAGAGGATCCATAGCACACAGCCAGGGGGGTAATGGGGGAACATGATTCTCAAAGCAATGGGAGTAACTGGAGGGGTTTAAGCAGGAGAGCGATACTTTAGATTTATTTTTTAAAAGATCCTCCTAGCCCAGCCGTGGGCAAACTATGGCCCGCGGGCCAGATCCGGCCCGTTTGAAATGAATAAAACTAAAAAAAAAAAAGACCGTACCCTTTTATGTAATGATGTTTACTTTGAATTTATATTAGTTCACACAAACACTCCATCCATGCTTTTGTTCCGGCCCTCCGGTCCAGTTTAAGAACCCATTGTGGCCCTCGAGTCAAAAAGTTTGCCCACCCCTGTCTTAGCCCCTGTGGGACAAACAGACCGTGGGAATTGCGGGCAGAGTGAGACCAGAGAGAGGTGGCTGCCCTGGTCCAGGGGAGCAATGGCAGGGGCCATGGAGGGGTGAGAGGTGTGTGTTAGCTGTGAATATATGCTGGATGGCGAGTGGACAGGACACTCTTTCTAAACCAACAAACGCTGCTCTTTGGACCCCTGCGGGGAGGCTCTTCAGAGTCGACACCACCTTACCCAGCCCACAGCATCTTCTCAGGGAAGCCGTGGCCCCTCTGCCCGGCTCCCCAGGAGCGTGGGACTGGGCAGATGGTCAACACAGCACAGTCCGTATCAGTGTCTTGTCATCTTTTCAGATTGGCCACGTTGAGGGTGAGGACCAGTAGGCAGTTCCCAAGATGGTGAGTAGACTGGCTTGTGTTTCTTGGGGTTCTTCTCTAGTCTTCATTAGACCCCCACAGTAGCCCCTTCCTCCCCTAAAGCCCTTCCCTGTCCCTGAGCTCTAAGATGGTATTTTCAAACTCTGGATTCATGATCCTCTGGTGCAGTAGTTCTCAAACTTTGCTTCACATTAAAATCACCCGAGAAGCTTTTTTCTTTCTTTGATTTTTTTTAATGAGGTGCAATTCTCATAACAAAATTAACCATTTTAAATTGTATTATCCCATGGCATTTAGCACATTCATAATGCTGTGCAGCCACCATCTCTAACTACTTCTAAAACGTTTCCATCACCCAGAAGGAAACTCCTTCCCTATTAGCAGGCACTCCCCTTCCCCCCTCCTCCAGCCCCTAGCAACCACTAGTCTGCTTCATGTCTCTATGGATTTGCCTATTCAGGACATTTCATGTAAATGGGATCATATACCATTTGGCCTTTATATCTGGCCTCTTTCACTTAACGTAATGTCTTCAAGGTTCACCCAGGTTGTAGCATGTATCAGAGCTTCATTCCTTTTTATGGCTGAATAATATTCCAATATGTGGATGGACCACCTTTGGTTTATCCATTTATCCATTGATGGGCATTTGGGTTGTTTCCACTTTTTGGCTGTTGGGGATGCTGCTGCTGTGGACAAGGATTTGTTTAAACATGTTTTCCAGGTTGCTTTTTAAAAGCCCAGTGTTCAGGCGCCACTCTGCAGAGCAGGTCCTCTGTCAGGAGTTTTCTGGGCGTGGATCCCAGATAGCAGTATTTTAGAAACTCCTCAGGTGGTGGTAATGTGCAGCCAAGTTTGAGACCCACTGCTTTGGTGGGTCATTCAGTCATCTCAGCCGGTGGCTGCCAGCTTTTGAAAAGAGACTCCCCAGCCAGGGTAAGGGCTCTTTCATGAAACCTGTGCCTCAGCTGTATTGCGGGCATGTCTGCCCTGTTGCATTGTTAAATGTGTCTTACTGTAAGTCAGACCCCCCAAAAAATACAAAAGCCATTGCTCTAGGAGAGTGGAACCCTCGTGGAATTTTCCATGGCAACGACAGTGGGCTTTTCCCCCAGGTCACCAGTCCTCGACCAGACACGGAGCCCAGGGCCGTCCTCAGTCTCCCTCATCCAGGTCCCGCCCCTCAAGGCTGCACCACTAGGTGTCCTGCAGGACCCTCTCTGAGTCATGTCTCTCTTCTGCTTTCCAGGGTGAAAGGAAAGGTGTAAACAAGTACTACCCTCCGGATTTCAACCCTGAAAAGGTAAGAGGCAGGCTTCCCTCCCCATGTCCATGATGGCAGAGACCTCACGGGGCAGGGTGAGGTCTGTCCCCGGCATCCTCATCACCGGAGCCACAGCTGCAGAGCATGGGCGACCCTGAGATCGCTCTGCCTTGCTCTGGTGGCACGCGTCTCGGGGTAGTCTTCATTCCCAGAGGTGAACATGGCTCTCATCAGTGACCTTCTGCTCTGTGCTCAGCTTGGCGTATTTCCAGCAGAACTCAGGATGAGGTCAGGCACTCAGGCCCTGGGTCAGATCCCAGCCCCTCTGGTCTCCTCACACCCTCTGCTGTTCCCTCTGCTTGGAATCTCTTCCTCCATTTGACCACAAGGTTATTTCCCTTCCTTTAGGTCTCTGCTCATCGAGGGCCTCCCTGACCGTTGTGTCATTCTCTTATTCCATTACCTAGTGCTTTGTCTCTCTTCATAGCCCCTTTAACTCCCTGACACGTTGTCTGTTTACTTGTGTATTGTCCATTTCCCCTTTAGAACGTTCACTCCACCCGGGTAGAGACGTTCCATCTTGCTCACGGCTGTGTCCTCACATATAGAGGCTGAGTAAGTCTTCTGAGTGGATCAGTGCGATCTGGGTGCCTGGCCCCAGGCCTTGACTCAACCTCTCTACGCCACAGTTTTCCCATGTCAAAAAGGAAATAAAACAACCTGTCCTCACAGACTTGCTGAGGGATTAAAATGCGACAATGCACATAAAGTAGCCAGTAAACGTTTGCCAGTATTTTCATCTCACCTAGTTCTCCCACGACACCCAGAGGTAATTACGGAACCTGGACTCAGGAAGGCAAATGGTGAGGTTGCTACCCAGGGTCACACGGCGCTTTCAGCTCTTAAATGGGAGAGGAGAGATTCAGATTCATGTACTCATGAGCCCAACCGCACTGGCTTCACCAGGGCCTCTGTGCCTTCCATTGTGCTGTTACTACCCCTGGTAGGTCATAAGAAAGAGGCCTCTCTCAGCCTATGCAAGCGAGCATGAGATTGCCCAGCTTAGCAGTGCTAACCTGCTCCTTCCTCCCTGTGCAGCATGGCTCTCTCAACCGATACCACAACAGCCACCCGCTCCGGGAGCGGGCTCGGAAGCTGTCCCAGGGCATCCTCATCATCAGGTAAGGCCTGAGAACCCCCGCCCCTTGTGCCACCTGGCCTCAATCTCAGGAGAATTCAGCACTCCAGCGTGCCCAGTGCTGCAGGATCTTAATTCTGTTAAGCAGAGAGTCACCATATCAGTCGGCTGTTGCCACATAATCAAACAATAAGCACATATTGCTCACAAGTCCAGGGCTCAGCTGAATGTCTCTGTTGGCCTGGCCTGGCCTGGCTATAGGAACATTCGTCAACCGTTCTTTATCCCCCTCAGTGTGCGCCCTTTGCAGTGCGGCTGTGGCCAGAGTTGCAGGTGTGGAGTCTACGGAAAGCCCAGTGGACAAAAGCAAATAAGCTGTTTTCTGTTTGTGTAGATTCGAGATGCCATATAACATCTGGTGTGATGGCTGCAAGAACCACATTGGCATGGGTGAGTTTCCACCCACCCCCTGCTCCCACCCAGCCCACCCATTCAGTCCCACAGACATTGAAGCCCATTAACCATCAGGGACTCCGAATCAGGAGTCTGGGAGGAGGTGGCACCCAAGTGACTGGCAGGCTGCGGATGCCTCATTGCAGAGCAGTGGGGAGGCCAGGCTTTGAGTTCTTCTAGCTGAGTGATCCTGGACAAGTGACTGAGCCTCTGTGTACCTCAGTTTACCCATCTGTAAAATTCAGGTGGTCTGAGTGTCCACCTGTGTGGCATGTAAAGTATGTAGTGCACAGCCTGGCCTGCGTGGTTCAGTGGTTGAGGGTCGACCTATGAACCAGGAGGTCACGGTTTGAATCCCAGTCAGGGCACATACCCGGGTTGTGAGCTCAATCCACAGTGGGGATGTGCAGGAGGCAGTCGATGAATGGTTCTCTCTCATCATTGATGTTTGTATCTCTCTCTCCCTCTCCCTTCCTCTTTGAAATCAATAAAAATATATTTTAATAAATAAATAGTGTAATGCACAGCACATGGCATATGGGAGGGCTCGTAAATTCAGTCTGCTGCTGTCACTGTCCTTGACTGTCACCATTAGCATTTGGACCCCTGACTGTGCCACAGGTGCACTGATGGATAGACAGACAGGCATGGTCCAAGGTCTTGCTCAGCCTTGGTCAGATGACTCAGCTCTCCTGACTTTGTTTCCTCCTCTGGGATCCTCACAGCGCCTCCCTCAGCTCCTCACACAGCACCTGGGCCAGGAGAGCAGCTCATTCTGTAAACAGGAGCTGATGGCTCCCAGTGAGAGGATCCAGTTCTCCTGGCAGGGGCTGTGGAAGTGCAGGAAGGGGTAGGCCAAGCCACCCGGCTGCCGAGGAGGACAGGTGAGCCCTGTGGTGTCTCCCTGGTCAGACCCAGCCAGGGAATCCGCCCTAACGGCCACCAGGCACTCAGGGACAAAAAGTGGGGCTTGGCCTGACACCACCACACATGGGTCACCCTCCGGGACATGAATGGAAGCAGGACCTGGGAGCGGAAACCCAGCTAAGCCACACCACTCCCCAGCCCACGCTCTGTTTTTCTAGTTTAAGCATTTTTCACTGATAAACAAGGTCATACAGAGTCAAGAATTTATATCACCTAACTAGCAAAATAATAAAAAAAAAACCCTGAAAATTCTCTAGAAAATAATAAGTCCAGCCCTTCTCAAATGCTTGCTGAGCCAGGCCCTATTCTAAGCAATATGTGTTTTATTAGCTCCTGCAGTTTTCACAATAGCCCTGTACAGTAGGCATTCTAATCATCCCTATTGCATAGATGGGGAAACAGGCCCAGAGGGATGAGGTTGCTGGCCTGAGCTCACACAGCTGATAGGTGGTGGAATTAGGGTTCGTCCCAGACCCTCTGGCTCCTGCCTACCCTCCTCTGTGGCTTGAGCACCTGTCACACAGTCTGAACACAGGTCTTTGCTCCTTTGAATTTCAGTGCCCTCCTGAGGTACCTCCCCTGCAGGGGAGCAAAATACCCCCCTGCCTACCCTCTACCCGGGTGCGTGGGCTCCAGCCTAGCCTGAGCCTCCACTCTCCCCTTCTCCTTGCAGGTGTTCGTTACAACGCAGAAAAGAAGAAGGTTGGCAATTACTACACGACCCCGATCTACAGGTAGAGGCAGCCTAGCAGGTGTCTCAGGGACACGTGGGTGGCCGCAGGGTGAATGGACTGTAAAGGAGTCTTCAGGGGAGGGGAGCTGGTACCCTCTTCCTGATGGCCATCACCTGTGTTCTGTCCTGAACATCATCCTGGTGTGTCAATCAGTATGTCCCTCTGTCTAGACCCCTCCATGGCTCCCACCTTCCTCAGAGTAAAACCTCCCCATGGCCCACAAGACCCCTAACACCCTGCTCTATCCCATCCCTGCTCTCACCTCCCACACTTCCCCTCGCCCACTCTGCACCAGCCACACGGGCTCCTCACTGTCCCTCTCTCTTACCCAGACGCTCCGCCTCTGTTCCCTCTGCCTGGAACACTCAGTCTTCCCCAGACATCTGCAAGGCCCCTTCCCTTGGGTTTCTACTCCACCACCACCTCTCAAAGAGGACTTTTCTCAAGTGGCGAGTCCCACCCACACTGCGGTTGCTTGTGTCTTGGTGGGCAGTGTGGCCCCTGCTGAAATGTTCACCCCTCCAAGTGTAGGTTGGTTTGTCTCACTGCTATGTCCCTGGCAGCCACAGAGCAGCCGAGCTCAGGAGCGTTTGCTGAGTAAATGAATGAGCGAACAAATGAGTGAATGAATAACCTCCAGACAGGAGGTTAGTTCTGGTGTAATGGGACCATGTCTGTCTCGCCCAGGGCTGTATCCCCAGGTATGGAACTTGGTGGGTAGTAGATGCTCAGTAAACACTTGTTGAATGATGCGCACAGGTAGAAGGAAGCAGGCAGGGGTCACTTGGCAGCCTGGGGTGGCTGCAGTGTCCTGATTCCTGCCCACCTCCCAGATTCCGGATGAAATGCCACCTCTGCATCAACTACATCGAGATGCAGACAGACCCTGCCAACTGTGACTATGTGATCGTGAGTGGTGCCCAGCGCAAGGAGGAGCGCTGGGACATGGCGGACAATGAGCAGGTGCTGACGACAGGTGAGCACCTCAGGCAACCCCAGAGCCACCCCTGCCTGACCCTGAGCCTGACCCTGACCCTGAGCCTGAGGTGGGTCCCAGAAGGCCCAGCCACACTCCCGCCCTTGCAGAGCATGAGAAGAAGCAGAAGCTGGAGACAGACGCCATGTTCCGTCTGGAGCACGGGGAGGCCGACCGAAGCACACTCAAGAAGGCCCTGCCCACCCTGAGCCACATCCAGGAGGCACAGAGCGCCTGGAAGGACGACTTTGCCCTCAACAGCATGCTGCGGAAAAGGTTCCGGGTGAGTGGCTTCCAGCCCGGGTTTGGAACCACAGGCAGGGGCACCTGGCATCGCTCACATGGCAAGTTAAGACCAGGTCCCGCCCTATCCCCACCACATACTAGCTATACGCATGTCATTTCATCCAGAGTCTAATTTTTCCACCTGCATCATGAAGACCTCACAGCGCTCATGGGAGGCACCTAGCCCAGCGGCTATTTTTAAGCTCGTAGCGCCTTCCCCTATGGGGACTGGGCTTCGCTTTCAACAGATCTCCAAGGGTAAACGAGCCTCAAGCAAGGGCCCGGGTGAAGCCTGACCCTGCTGTGGGTGTCAGGGTACTGACCAACTGGTCAACGCCTAACACTCATTCATGGGCCCACTCAGCTGTCCCAAAACAAAATCCATAGACTGCCAGCCTGCCCCAAATAATCTCCAAAACCATCCCTGCCATGTGCTGACTCTGAGGAAAAAGGGGAAATCACTTATAATAAAATGCATATTTCAATTTGCATAATGTGTGGGCAGGATATCTGCACCTGCGTGGAGAGTCACTGAGGGCACAGGTACAAATGCTAAAGGACACCCAGGGCTATTGCCGTCGGTGACCACAATGGCTTCTGAGGTTGTGCCAAAAACGCTCGGTGGGGCTGTGAAAACGTGCCCTGGCGGGTAGCTCACCCGTATAAATGGGTTTCTCACCCTTGCAGGGTCTGACAGGGCCCCTGAGAACCTTCTCCTCCTCCTCCCACTCTGTGGGGTAGACTGTGCCCAGGACACTGCAGATGGAGCCCAGGCAGGAGCATTAGGGCTAACCCCACAGGCCACGAGTTCCCTCACTACCCTACAGCTCCCATCTCTCCCTGCTTCCTTTTCGGATCACTCTGTGGTCATCATTAGGAGTAAAATTACTAGTTTGTTTTTGTCTTTTTATTTACTTGAGAGAGAGAGAGGGCAGGGAGAGAGGACAATCAATTTGTTGTTTCACTTAATTATGCATTCATTGGTATGTGCCCTAACTGGGGAGCGAACCCTAAACCTTGGTGTATGGGGACTACACTAACCAACTGAGCTACCCAGCCAGGGCTCTAGTTTTCTTACTAATTACTTGTTACTAGAAGTGCTTCCCTGCAGCCAGGCCTGTGCCCTGAGCTATGTGTCCCCTGCCTTCTGGGCTTCTGCACCTGGTAGAAGGACCCTCAAACATACATCCCAGTGAGCCTACCTCAGTCCCTACCCTACCCCGCCCCCCCACATCCCCTCTTCTCAATAAAGAAGTTACCTGTCCACCCTGGCTGGGTGGCCCCGTTGGTTGGAGCATCATCCCATACACCAAAAGGTTGGGGGTATTCCTAGTCAGGGCACATACCTAGGTTGCGGGTTCAATCCCCAGTTGGAATGTGTACAGGAAGCAACCAATCTCTCTCTCTCCTCTCTCTCTTTCTTCCTCTCTCTCTAAAACCAATAAAAACATATCCTTGGGTGAGGATTAAAAGGAAAAGAAGAAGGCATCTGTCCTAGGCAGAATTCCTAAAGCTTGGAGTTGGACTTCACTCCCCCTCCCCATCTCCAGTTAGAAATTCTGTCAGCCTGGACCTTCAAATTATATCTGGTATCTGGCTGCTTCTGCCACCCCCATCATCTCCTACCTGGGCTAGCACAGTCCCTCTGCCCTGGTCTCCAGGCTCTCCCCCTCGCATCCCAACATTCTGTTTCTCCCCCACCCCCACCAGGGGACACCTATGAACACCTGAGTCAGTCACCTCCTTCCTGTGTTCAGACCCCTCCCTCCGTGGCTCCCACTTAAAGTAGAAGCCAAAGTCTTTCCCCCCCAGGTCTGAATGATCTGCCCCTTCCCCTCTCCGCCCCCATCTCCACCTTCCCCTTGTTCGCTCTGCTCCAGCCACACTGGCCTCCTCACTCTCCTCAGCAGCTCCCAGCATACTTCCGTCTCAGGGCCTTTGCACAGGCTCTTCCCTCCACTGCACAGTGCTCTTCCACCAGATTCCCACATGGCCCCTCACTCAGATGTCTTTTCTCAGATGTGATCTTAGGGAGACAGTCCCTGAGCCTCTTCTTCACCCTGTATCACATTTAAAGCTGAATCCCCTGGCCACTCCCTACCCCTTTCCTGGCATTCTTTTTCTCCCATCACATTTGTCTCACTCACCCACTAGAATGTCAGTTCCACAAGGGCAAGGGTTTTTGTCTGCTCTCTGCTGTGTTCCCAGTGTCTAGAACAAGGCCTGGGGCGAGATGGGCGTTACGTAAATATTTGTGGAATGAGTGAGTGAAGAACTGATGGTACACGTGTTAATAACAGTTGTGCCTCCCATTTGTTAAGCAACTTTTGTGGCCCAGCCATAGTGGGAGCTTTGAGAGGAGGAAACAGACCCGGAGATCTGGAGCAATGCTGTGAGTCAGCAGCGTGGAAGACACGGCTTTGATACCCACCTACTCCCCCACAGGAAAAGAAAAAAGCCCTGCAGGAGGAGGAGGAGCGGGACCAGGCTCTGCAGGCCAAGGCGAGCCTGGCCATCCCCCTGGTGCCTGAGACAGAGGACGACCGCAGGCTGGCCGCCTTGCTCCAGTTCCATACGCTGGACTGTGCGTGGGGCGGAAGGGATGGGCTGGGATGGGGAGAGATGGGGGGCCCGGCCTTGAATGGCAGACCCGGGCAGAGGGTGGCTCTGGACCTCTTTCCCCTCCTCTCCCTCTCCCCCAGCCTATGAGGACAAGCAGAAACTCAAGCGGACAGAGATCATCAGCCGCTCCTGGTTCCCCTCGACCTCGGGGCCCAGCAACTGCAGCAAAGCTGGCAGCGTCCTGAAGAAGCTGGCCCAGAACCGCAAATCAGCACCTGCGGGCTCCCCCATCACCGTGGGGGGCCTGGGTATTGTTCGAAGGCAGTCCCGGGAGACCTCAGAGAGCCCACAGCATGCTGCTGAGACCTCTACGTCTGAGAAGCTACAGGGCACCACCCAGGACATGCCCACATCCCCCCAAGACTGCTCTCAGGAGACAGCCAAGACCCCCAAGACAAAGGAACCTCAAGGGCAGACTGGGGGCTGTCAGGACAGGCCCCAGTCCTCATCAGGCTCCTCCCAGGAGGCAGCCGATCCCCAGGACACGCCACACCCCTACACCCTCAACTCTTCCCTTGTGGCTGACTACTCAGACTCGGAGAGTGAGTGATTACGGGACTGGACCACCAGCCCTCCAAGACCTCAGACATTACCCCTTCCTCAGACCTCGCCTTCCCGAGGGATGGAATTATTTATTTGATCCTGAAGAGGGGGAGCGGGTATGTGTGCCGTGTAGGACATCCCCCTTCCCCCCAAGACTTATTAAAGCCCTGCTTCTTTGCCCTTGCCTCCGGTTACTAGATGGGCCCAGGGGCTGCCCCTCTACCCCACCCCACCATCCAACCAAGCTGGCAGGCCTCTCATAGCAAATGGTGATGCCGGGGCTACAGCTGTGACCACAGTGATCGTCCTCACCCAGGGTGATGAGGGTTTCAAGGTAGTGGCTCAGGTTGGTCTGCAATCAGGACAGACTTTACAGAGGAAGTGACATGGGCTGAGTGGGAAGGGTGGGTAGGGGACCAGGCAGCAGGAACCACGCAGGGGGCCCAGGGTTGGAAGGTACATGGGGTGCCCAAGGAGGTGTGAGCTGTCCCATGGGCTGGGGACACCTTACAAGGGTCACTAAAAAGGCCCCAGCGTGTTGCTTTTTTTTTTTTTTGAATGAAACATAAAACTGAGCAGAAAATAGGTCAAAATAGCCACACATACACCAGGAATTAATAGCCTGTCACCTCCCCCTAACCTTGGGAAAGGAAGATCATTTCACAGATACTGATGGAGCACTGGGAGGGCGCCAGGCACTGTTCTAGCCACAGGGGAAACAGCGATGAACAAACGCAACCCTCTTGGGGCTGAGGTTCCGGCTGAATTCGTACTCAGATCACCAGCCCAGCTCCCCAATGGGGCAGTGAAGCCTCAGGGCAGCAGCGAGACCCCCGTTAGTTCCTGACATCCCCAATTAAGGCCTTTCTCTACCAAAGACAACCGGCAGCACTTGCTCCAGCCTGATGGAGCCCACCTGGGATTTGGGGGTCATAGCATAATCAGCCAGACGCCAAACACCAGGCCCGGCATCTAGAAGACGCCCCGTAAATAGTGACGCCTTTGTGGTTCCGAGGGGGTGTCTAACGCCGAGCTTGGCCCGGAAAAGGGGGTAGAATCGTCGGAGTAGACTGTTGCGCCCGGGGAACAAGTAGGGTCGTGTGCGCACACGCCTCCTTCCGGCGGAGGCCCCGCCCACACGCGCGGCCCGCTGCGCCCGGGACCCAGGCAGCACGCTGGCTGCGCCATGCCCCCTCTGGAGGCGATCCGCTACTCGCGGGGCTCGCTGCAGGTCCTCGACCAGCTGCTGCTGCCCCAGCAATGCCGCTACGAGGAGGTGGACTCGGTGCGCCAGGCCTGGGAGGCGATCCGCGCCATGAAGGTGGGGTGCAACGACGGGGTTGGGGGTGGGGCGTGCCCTCGCCTGGCGCCCCTGACACTCCCATGCCTTTCCTCCAGGTGCGCGGCGCGCCTGCAATCGCGCTCGTGGGGTGCCTCAGCCTGGCGGTGGAGCTGCAGGCCGGAGCTGGGGGGCCGGGACTCGCCGCGCTCGTTGCCTTCGTGCGCGACACGCTGAGCTTCCTGGTCACCGCCCGGCCCACCGCTGTCAACATGGCCCGCGCTGCCCGCGACCTGGCCGACGCCGCAGCCCAAGAGGCCGAGCGGGAGGGCGCCACGGAGGAGGCCGTCCGGGAGAGGTAGGGCGCCTTGTGCCAGGCACTGCTCTGAGCAGAGGCTGACTTATTTTTTTCGCACAGCGACCCATTTTACAGATGAGAAGCAGATATGGCGCGCTTAGTCCAAGGCCACACAGGCAGGTCTGGGAGTCCACCCCAGGCCCCAGGAACTTGGACTCAATCCCATGACTGTGCCTCCCCTGAACATGCCCAGCCCCCATTGCCCTTAGAGGTCCTTTTCAGTACCACTTCCTTCTGCTGGTTTTTTGTTTGTTTGTTTGTTTGTTTGTTTTTAAAAACATATTTTATTGATTTTTTACAGAGAGGAATGGAGAGAGATAGTCAGAAACATCGATGAGAGAGAAACATCGATCAGCTGCCTCCTGCACATCTACTGGGGATGTGCCCGCAACCAAGGCACACGCCCTTGACCGGAATCGAACCCGGGACCTTTTAGTCCACAGGCCGACGCTCTGCTCTATCCACTGAGCCAAACTGGTTATGGCTGGTTTTTTTCTTTTGAGGAATTTTGGTTCTTGTCTTATCCGTTCCCTGCCCTCTTCTTTTCCCACTCTCCCCCTCTGCTCCAGCTACATGTTCTTTGACCCCACCAGTCTCGCTCCTGCCCCCGGGCCTTTGAACATGCCGTCTCTCTAGAGCAGATACCCCTCCTTCAGGTTTAAGGCTTCTGTCTTCCCCACCCCCCCACCCCCATATGTTACAGCTCATCCCCTCACCCCTACCCCACCCCCCTGACTCTGCTGCCTTTTTCTTCACTTCATTATCTGCTCATTTTTTGCCTCCACCACTTGTGTCAGCTTCATAGGGGCAGAGATTTTTGTCTTGGCTACTGCTGGGCCCCCCAGCGCTTCGCACACAGGTGCTCAGTTAAGGTGTCGCATGAGCGAATGGAGTGACAGGCGGCAAAAGCAGAAGGACTAGGCCTCACAGCTGTGAGAGGCTTTCAGCAAGAGAGTTGGGCAGGAAGGAGGGGCCAGCCTGGGCCCCGAGGCTGAGAGTCCCTTGTCGGCCCCAGAGTGATCTGCTTCGCTGAAGACATGTTGGAGAAAGACCTCAAGGATAATCGGAGCATTGGAGACCTGGGAGCCCACCACCTCCTGGAGCGGGCAGCCCCCACGGGCAGCAAGGTGACCGTGCTGACCCACTGCAATACTGGTGCACTGGCCACTGCTGGCTACGGCACAGCCCTGGGTGAGTAAGTGGATGTTCATGGGGATGGGGGAGGGCCCCTTTTGGATTCAAAAGAAAGGAACCCAAACCACTTTCCCCACCCCACCCCCAAAATGGAAATAGATTAGTTCTTGTACAGAAACAGAAAGGTGGCTTCAGGTACAGCTGGATCCAGGAGTTCGAAAAATTTGCATTAGGACCCACCTATTCCTGTCCCGGTCCTGCTCCCGGTCCACGGGTCAGCAGAGGGCCTGCCCATGTTCAGATCAGCAGGAAAGGAGCCTATGCCAGCAATGCCAGAAGAGACTCCTTATAACTCAGAGCTACGATGGGGTCACCTGCCCATCCAAGATCAACCACTTGATGGACCTGGCCTGAGTGGGCAGAATGTGGATTTCAAGAGAACTGAGGGAAAGGGAGTGGTTCCCCCAGGAACGACTGGGGTAGCAGTGATCTGGAGAGGGGGGGACTGGGTCCTGGGACTCATGGCAGCAGATTCCACTTGATCCTAAATTCCCCAGATTTCTCTACCTGCTTGGGTCCCACTTTGGGGCCTAGGGACTGAGGCCCTGATGGCAAGACATCATTCATTCATTTGCTCAACATATATTGGCGCCTACTCTGTGCCCTGCCATTCCTGCATGCATGCATGCAATCCTTTATTCACTCAGCATTTATTAAGCACCTACTATGTGTCCCACCATTCATGAGCACAAGCATTCTTTCATTCACTCAACAGACATTTGTTAAGCATCTACTATTTGCCAGGCACAGTTCTGGGCGCTGGGGAGCCAACAGTGAACAAAGTGAACAATGGGAAAGGAAAGTAGAAGGAACAGACAAAAGCAAGTTGGTAAATATATATGATGTGTTCGAAGGTGATAAATACTAAAGAGGAAAAACCGGGAAAGAGGTCAGAGGTGTGGAGGTTGCTATGTGAGATGGAAGGGTCAGGAAGGACTCACCTGAAGGTGTTCTCTAAGCGCACATGCACTGGACAGAGGGACAGCCACCACAAGGGCCTGGGGATGGGGAGCCTGTGGAGATCTGTGCCCCCAACTAATGGGCCACCACCCTGCCCATCTGTCCCTTTCTGTCTCATCCTGGCCTTTTGGTGAGTCGGGTCCTGCAGGTGTGATCCGCTCGCTGCACAACCTTGGCCGCCTGAAGCATGTCTTCTGCACGGAGACCCGGCCCTACAACCAGGGGGCCCGGCTGACAGCCTTCGAGCTGGTCTACGAGCAGATTCCCGCCACCCTCATCACCGACAGCATGGCAGCAGCTGCCATGGCTCACCGGGACGTGTCAGGTCAGCAGTGGGGTGCCAGCAGGCAGGGCACCGGCACTCAGGGCTCCGGGCATCCAGGGTCAGGTGATGACCCCCGACATCTTGCTCCCCAGCTGTTGTTGTGGGAGCTGACCGTGTGGTTGCCAATGGTGACACAGCCAACAAGGTGGGCACCTACCAGCTGGCCATCGCCGCCAAGTACCATGGCATCCCCTTCTACGTAGCTGCCCCCAGCTCCTCATGTGACCTCCGTCTGGAGACGGGCCAGCAGATCGTCATTGAGGAGCGCCCCGGCCAGGAGCTGACCGATGTCAACGGGGTCAGGATTGCAGCACCCGGTAAGCCATCACTCAGCGGGGTACCAGGATCTGGGCACCTTCAGTTAGGTACCCATCTCCTTCACAGGAGGCAAGCGGCATATGGGGTGTCAGCCTTCTAGGGCACAAGCAACTTCATATTCAAGCCAGTTTTAGAAACAGAAACATGTTGGAAGTCAAATTCAAGGTGAGAATGGCCAACTCAGGAGTTGAGAAACCTTGAGTAAAGTGTCTTGCCATTCTCTACCATGGTTTCCTCACCTGAAGAACAAATAAGAATCCTGTTCAGCCAAGTGCCTATAAAGAGACACGCATATTTTTCAGCCTCCCCATGCTCCCTGGCTGTGCAGCTATGAGCAGGTTGCCTAAGTTCTCTTGTCCCTAAGAGCCCCTGTGTTCCTATCTATAAAAGAGCTGTCATTATGACTTACCTCATAAATCCCAGGGCCTTCAGTGAATTAACCCACATGACCTGGAGAACAGGCCCAGCCCGACAGGCACCCTGGCTGGTGTTGCTCAGTGGTTAAGCATCCACCTATGAACCAGGAGCCACAGTTCAGTTCTCAGACAGGGCACATGCCCAGGTTGTGGACTTGATCCCCAGTGGGGGTTGTGCAGGAGGCAGCCAATCAATGATTCTCTCTCATTATTGATGTTTCTATCTCTTTCTCTCCCTTCCTCTCTGAAATCAATAAAAATATACATATTTTTTAAATAATAACAGTATACAGCCCAGCCAGTATGGATCAGTAGTGGGACATCGACCCATGAACCAGGAGGTCATGGTTTGATTCCCAGTCAGGGTCATTGCCTGGGTTTTGGGCTTAATCCGTAATAGAGGGCATGCAGGAGGCAGCCGATCAATGATTCTCATCAGTGATGTTTCCAACCCTTCTCTCCCTTCCTCCCTTCCTGTCTCTAAAAAAAAATTTTTTTTTTAAAGAGATGGGGGCCTGTAGCCAGTTTGGCTTAATGGATAGAGCGTCGGTCTGCGGAACAACAGGTCCCGGATTCGATTTCGATCAAGGGCACATAACTTGGTTGCAGGCTCCTCCCCAGCCCAGGCTCTCATTGGGCACTCGTGCAGGAGGCAACCAATCAATGTGTTTCTCTCACATCAATGTTTCTCTGTCTTTCTCTTCCACTTTCCCTAAAAACCAATGGAAAAATATCCTCGGGTGAGGAGTAACAAAAAAATAAATAACTTTAAAAAGAAAAAGCTTTAAAAAAACAAAACTATACAGCCCTGGCCAGTGTAGCTCAGTTCATTGGGCGTTGTCCCATGCACCAAGGGGTCACTGGTTTGATTCCTGGTCGGGGCATGTGCACAGGTTGTGGGTTCAGTCCCCAGTTGGGGCCGGTGTGGGAGGCAACTAATTGATGTTTTGCTCTCTCATTGATGTTTCTCCCTTCCTCACTCTAAAGTCAATAAAAACATTTTTTTTAATATATTTTATTGATTTTTTACAGAGAGGAAGGGAGAGAGATAGAGAATCAGAAACATCGATGAGAGAGAAACATCGATCAGCCGCCTCCTGCACATCTCCTACTGGGGATGTGCCTGCAACCCAGGTACATGCCCTTGACCGGAATCGAACCCAGGACCCTTCAGGCCGCAGGCCGCTGCTCTATCCACTGAGCCAAACCGGTTTCGGCAATAAAAACATTTTTTAAAAAAACACTATACAACTAAGCAGAGGGAATTCCTAATAGTCTGTTGTTTTCTGCTGCGACTCCTTACTGCTTTTTTAAAAAGGACACATTGATTCTGAAAAACTTCTTCTCATTTTCTTTTTTGGCTTCCCTGCTTTCCTAGAGGCATAATTAGCACTGGTCATAGTCCCTAAGACTGTGGAAAGTAGAGTTGGCAACCCACACCCACTAAAATAAAACTGGGACAGCAAGATGTAAGAGTCATGGGCAAGGTGCAGTCTGTGGGCCCTGATACTCTGCTCCCGCCAGTGGTCACAGGAATGCAGGCCCCAGAGAAGTGGGTCTTCTGTTTTTTCCAAAAGAAGCCTTACATTTTTTAATATATGAAATTTCCCACCTTTTGAAAGGTAGCAGCTAATTCAGTGGACTCAAAAAACTGTGAGCCTGCCCTAGCTGGTTGCTCAATGGTTAGAGCATCAGCCCTTGGCCTGAACTGTCTCAAGTTTGATTCCGGTCAAGGGCATGTACCTCTGTTGCAGGCTCGATCCCCAGCATTCGGTCAGTCTCTCACATCCATGTTTCTCTCTCTCTGTCTCTCCCGCCCCCTTCTACTTTCTAAAAATTAATGGGGGAAAAATATCCTCAGGTGAGGATTAACAAATAAAACAACTGTGAGCCAAAGAAAAAAGTTACAGGCCACCAGTTTGCAGCCTCTTGTGTAAGAAATTGTGGTCTACGCTGAGTAATTCATTCAGCAAATGTTTTTGAGCCCCTGACTAATGCTAAGTGCTGGGATAGAGGAGTGAAAAAAGACACAAAACTCCATGCCCTCATAGAGCTGACAGTTTGGTCAGGGAGACAGACAATAAGATAAATAACACAATTATAGGAAGTAAGGGCTGAGGAGAAATAAACAAGGCAAGGAAGTGTCTGTACAGGGGGTTTAGACAAGATGATCAGAGACCTTCTCACTGAAAAGGTGACATTTGAGCAAAGACTGAAGGAAATGAAACATTGAGTTGTGCATATCTGAGGTAGAGCTTCGAGGCAGAGGGCAGAGCCCATGCAAAGGCCCTGGAGTGGATTCTTGGAGGTTCTAAAAGAGATCCAGGCAAGAGTAGGATGGATATATATAAGACTGAAACCTTCTTAGTGACAATTCAGGAATGGTGTGCGGAGAGGAGTCTAAACTTCTTACCGGGTACCAAAGCCCATGTCTTCGTGCACTTTTGGGATAAGTATCCCCAGATTCTCAAGAATTCCCTAACTCCAACAACCACCATGGGTGTGGGGAGACAGGTGACAACTGGAGAACTTTCACAGAAGCAAATACTTACCTTCTTGCCTCCCTTCTCTCCCCTGTAGGAATTGGGGTTTGGAATCCTGCCTTCGATGTCACCCCCCATGACCTCATCACTGGCGGCATCATCACAGAGCTGGGTGTCTTTACCCCCAAAGAACTCCAGGCAGCCCTAAGCACCACCATCTCCTGAGGGTGGGGACATTAGATGGACCCCAGAAGTAACCAACCTGGCTCTCCATACCCTTCTCCATCCCCCTAGGTTTTATAATAAAATGTATTGAATAGTCTGCCCCAAAGCTGACCTTCCCCCAATTACACTTCTTCCTAGAGCAGGGATAGCAGACAGAGTCGTTGCATGGCTCTTAAAAGTGCAGCAGCTGGAGATAGGCTACCCAAGTCCTATCCCAGTTCTGCCACTCTCTGCTGTGTGATCTTGGCCAAGCCACCTCACCTCTCCCTGCTGTGGTTTCCTCATTTATAACATGGGGACAATACCTACGGCCTTCTTAGGTTGCTCTCAGGACTGGAACTAGGGTAACACCTTAGGCACAAAATTTTAAACGGGACACCAAAAAGCTTAGTAACCAAGATAATACTTTCATGCAGTATTTTTAAAAATCAAAATGAATGCAAGAAAAATACATGAGCCCTAACTGGTTTGGCTCAGTGGATAGAGTGTCGGCCTGCGGACTGAAGGGTCCCAGGTTCGATTCCGGTCAAGGGCATGTACCTTGGCTGTGGGCACATCCCCAGTACGAGGCAGCTGATAGATGTTTCTCTCGTCGATGTTTCTAACTATCCCTCTCCCTCTCTGTAAAAAATCAGTAAGATATATATTTTAAAAATCCTTATTTTAAAAAAAAATACATGAGGAACAAAATACCAAGATACTAAATAGAATGAAAGCCTACCTTTGCACACCTTGACCTTAACCTCTGATACCAGCCCTTGTCCCAATAAAACTTTATTTACAACATCAGACCACCCATCTACAAGCAGTAGTTTCACGGCTTGATTTTTTTTAATATTAAAATGTTACTTTTAAATGTTGAAAACACTATCTTGATTACAGAATTTTTGGGTACCCTTAAATTTTGCACCAGTAAGTGCCTAACACCTCGTTTTTGTTCTGAATTTTACATACAAAGAGCATAAAACTACACGTTTTACAAAGCATGAGCGCCCAGTGAACGTCAGTTTGTCATTGTAACTTCCCTTCCAAGTTTTTGCCAAACGCTGTCAATAAAGTACCGCCTTTGTCAGAACGCCAACTCTTCGCCACGTTGTTGCCCATGCGCCCATGCGCTTCCTGGCCCCAGTGTATCCCATCGTGCCCTGCGTCTTCCGGTTACAATTGTCAGCCCGGCTTTTTCCTGCGCACGTCCCGTCATGGCGCAGGGGCAGCGCAAGTTCCAGGCGCAGAAGCCGGCCAAGAGCAAGGCGGCGGCGGCGGCCTCGGAGCGCAGCCGGGGCCCGAGGAAGGGAGGTGAGGAGCGGTCCGGGGGCTGCGCGGGGTGGGCCTGGGCGCCCTGACCTCACGCGAGTGTGTCTCCCCCAGGTCGCGTTATCGCCCCCAAGAAGGCGCGCGTTGTGCAGCAGCGGAAGCTCAAGAAGGTGAGCGGGGGCGTGCGGGGGCCGAGGGATGGAGCCTGGAGGTCGGTGCAGGGAGGGGTCCGGGATGAAGTCAGGATCCGGGGATGGGTCCTGGAGAATTCCCGACTCAGCCTCCCGCGGGCGGTGTGGACAGGACCATCGCCTGTTATTCCGCGGGCCTCTCAGCGGTCGCCGCCCGGTGGTCCGCGCGGTCCGAAAGGTTGGCGACCGCAGGTTTAAGGAAACCTTTGGAGCAGCGGTCGCCAACGTCGCAGCACGGAACGTATTCCGCACTCACTCAGCTGCTTTGGCGGTCACTGTGCTCTCATGGGGCTCGGGGGTGCGGGTGGGGGGCCATGGGAACCGAGTTGAAAACCCCAGCTGTGCACGAAGGCGGTGCTGGAGGCAAATCGCAGTCCATGGACGAGTAGTATAGTGGAACCTCGGTTCTCGAACTTGATTTGTTCGAAGGCCCAATCGTTTTGCCCCCATTAGAAATCATGTAAATTTAATCCATTCCAGACCCACAAATGATTCCCTTTTTTTAAAACCTTTCTTAGATATATGCCTAATGTACTGTTTCATGTATAATTTAAACACTTTTTTCTTAAGTTCACGGAACCACCCCCTACTGACCTTAAATCGCTTTAGCATTCATTCCAGGGGTGTCTTTCAGGTCAGCATCCGGCATCGGAGCCTGTTCATGTGTCCCTGCCGCTGAAATGCTGTCCGTGGCAACTGCTTTTCCATTATCCAAAGCAACAGTTTTCCTGCCTCAGTTGCTGTGATGTTGTTTCTTTCACACCCTTAGCAACATTAGCACTCTCGATGACCTCTTTGTGTTTTAAAATTGTGCTAATCGTCCTTTTCACCACCAACAAAAGCGCTTTCTCCTTTGTTTATTGCCTGAGAGGCATGAAAGGGTTGTCTGGTCCAAAACCGAGACATTTTTTCTGTGAATTTGGTTGAGGACCGAATTGTCCAAGATCGGACACATTCGAGAACCGAGGTTTGGCTGTATTTGTTCACCATGAGCCTCTTACCTGTGAAACATAGAGTTGTAAGGATTCAGGGCCATAGGGCACCTGTAGAGCGCTGAGAACAGCACAGGCACAAAGAAACATTAGCCATGTTGGTTATTGTCATTTCTAGGGTTAAGCTTAAGAAGTTACAGAAAATTAAAACATTTTGGTGGAGTCAGATCTGATTTTGGGTTGTATTCCACACTAACTAGGGCAGTGATGGCGAACCTTTTGAGGTCAGTGTGTCAGCATTTTGAAAAACCCAAAGTTAACTCTGGTGCCGTGTCACATACAGAAATTTTTTGATATTTGCAACCATAGTAAAACAAAGACTTATATTTTTGATATTTATTTTATCTATTTAAATGCCATTTAACAAAGAAAAATCAACCAAAAAAATGAGTTCGCATGTCATAGGTTCGCCATCACTGAAGTAGTGTGTAACCTTCATCAAATTGTTTCGTTTCCCCAGAGCCTCGGTTTTCCAAGACCTGGGTCCCCAGCAGCCTGCTTACCTCCAGCCTTCATTTAGGAAGAGTCTGTCCTACCAAATTTCAAAATATTCGGGATCATTCTGGATCTCCCCCTCACCCTCTCCTCCCTGATCTGCCCCCCCCCCCCATCCCCCATAGCAGCCAGAGGGCGCCTGTGAGCACTTAAAAGTTCAATCGTGTTGCTTTCTCTGCTCAGGACCCTGGTGGCTCTACCTCATTGAGGGGGGGTTGGGGGGGGTAGAACCAAGTCCTCCACAAAGCCCTATACACTATGCCCCCCCTCACTTCCCTGCCCTCTCCTCCCACTCTCCCCCTCGCTCCCTCCGGCCTCACTGGCCCTTTAACTGCTCCTTGTCGCACTTCAGCTTTGCACTGGCTGTTTCTTCTGCCCCAAAGTCCACATGGCTCCCTCCTCTGAGTCAGGTCCGACTGCAAGGGCTGCTTCTGAGCAGCTTGTTCCTGATGGCGGCCCACAGCTCCTCCCCCACACACACTCACTCGCCCTTATTTTCCTTTCTCTGTAACACCTCCTACCATTTCTCCTCGTTCAACAGTTTAACATAATGTAACGTAACAATGGCATTTACATTGTCCCCACACATGCACCGGATGTCAGCTCACTGAAGGCAGAGGGTCTCCTGTGTCCTGCTTGCTGTTGTGTCTCCGGTGCCCTGGCATGCGGTGCTGGCTGTGGCGATCGTGGTCATTGGAGTTCATACAGGCAGGGCAAGGGGATGGTTTGGGGAATGTGATTAAACTACCAATTTGGGACCCAGACACACTTGGCTTCTAACCCCTGTGCCTTTACTTGCTCACATCCCTGTCTCAGAGCCCCAGATCCCCATGTGCAAAGCGGAGATGACATGGGACAGGAGGGACTGTCCATGGACTGAGACCAGAGACTCTAGGCATGCCAGGGTCCAGTCTCCCCTCGTGTGGTTTGCGAACCCTGGGCAACTGTCTCCTCCCTGCAGGAGCCTCGATTTCCCCTTCAGTGAAATGGGAGTGAGCAGAAGTTTGGAAGCTGAGGTCCAGGAATGAGAAAGGATTGTGTGTGTGTGTGTGTGTGTGTGTGTGTGTGTGTGTGTGTGTGTGTAACACCACAAAGAGTGTGGGTCAAAAGCAGGACTTAAACCACAGCCTCCGGACTCTCAGGTGCTGTTTCAGGGGGCGGGCCGTCACTGATCCAGCCCCAGATCAGGCCCTCCCTCACTCCCTCGGCCTCAGATCCAGTCTGATTGTCCCTCGGTTGCCCCTTCAGGACCTGGAGGTCGGGATCCGGAAGAAGATTGAACATGATGTGGTGATGAAAGCCAGCTCCAGCCTGCCCAAGAAGCTGGCGCTGCTGAAAGCCCCCGCCAAGAAGAAGTAGGCAGCCTCTTCCTCCTCCAAGACACGTTCCTAAGGATGCAGCCCCTGCCTCCGTGCTCAGACCTCTGCGGGGGACTCCGCAGGCAGCACCATGGACAGAAGGAGCCCTGCTCCCCGGGGCCTTGGGTTGCAGCTCGAACTTTGGACTCCGGGTGAGGGGAGGGGGCAGGCCTGTGAGCAGGTGACCAGCACGTCTGTAGTGCATGGGTCAGTTTCCCAGGTGCCAAGAATTCAGCAGTGGCCTTGAGGAAATGTTCACCAACTTCTTGTACCGTCCTCCCGCGGTTTCTGTGTCCGCTGGTTTAATCGGAGCAATAAACCTGGCTTTGTCATTCCTCTTGCAGTGACGGGCTCTGTGAGCGGGCCAGGGCCAGGGGCCAGGCGCACTGACCTGGTCAGCCTCAGCCATGTCTTAGGAGACCAACCACATACTCAGGGAGGGGTGATTGACCTTCTGCACGTCCATCCTGGGAGCTTATGGAGAATCTTCCCTCCAACCTCAGGCGACTCACTTACCTCCTTCCCTGCCTCGGTCACCCCTCTGCCTGGTACAAGCCAGGAGATATGGGAGCCATTTTCCCATCTGGAGGACAGGTGGTGATTAACCCAGAATGCACTTACGAACTGCACAACCACCTCTATCTATTAAAATAAAGTCCAAATATTCAGTATGTCTATGGCCCAGGCATTGTTCCAGTGCTTTCTGCGCATCACTTCGCTCCCAAGTACACTCCAGAGCCAGTACTGAAACCCGCCACTGGCTGAGTCCCAGTGTGTGCTCAGCTGACCCTCCCCCGCCTCTTCCCACACCAAGGTTTTCTTTTGCTTCATCCTGAGCATCCCTTCCCCAAATCCTCACTCGAGTCTGCTGCCTGCCGGGAACTCTGGCCTGGTGACTGCCCTTCTCTCCCTCCGTTGGGGGGAGCGGGAGGTCTCGGCACAGTGACCAGGCCGGGCCCAAGGAAACCAAACTGGAAAGTCTCTCCTTCAATCCAGGCTCTGCTACCACAGCTCTCAATTCTTTGAGATGTAAAGTAGGGTTTTTTTGTGCGTGAAATTGCTCTCCCAGCTTTTGTGTATGTGTGTGTGGTTAAAACACATAAAATTAACATTTAAAAGTATGCAATTCAGTGGCATTTTGTGCATTCACAATGTTTTTGGGACTACCCGAAACTTACCACTGAAAAGATGACCTATCTCCAGTAGCTGTCACTGCCTGTTCCCCCCTTCCCCTCCCTGGCAGCCACTG